ATAATTCATCACATGTGAAAGTTTAATGAGTTTGTACAGAAACACAGAGAACCTCAGACATCCACGCAGGGTTCTCAGTTATACAGACTTTAGAACGAACCAGAGGAACCAGAGGAGCCTGAGGAACCAGAGGAACCAGAGTCTGGTGGTTCTAGTGGTTAGCAATGATGTTCTGGTGGTTCTAATGGTTGGAGATGATGTTCTGGTGGTTGATGTGCTCTGAGCATGTGACTCACCGTCAGTCGGGTGTCTCGGTTGCCATGGTTCTGGTTGTCGTTGGCGAACAACGTGGACCCATAGCTGCTGTAGTTGACGTTGATCAGACTGTGGTTGATCGGGTCTTTGGGTTCTGTGGTGTTGTTGGTGCGGTTCAGATCAGGTTCTGGAGCTGAGTCCGGAGTCCTCCTGAGGTCGGCTGCAAGCAAATAACCACCATCATCGTCATCATCACCTGCAGCATCGTCCCAAGACCAGGCTGCGTTCTTCCAGAACATCTTGTCTGTCCTTCCACTGAACCAGAACAAACCAGTCCAGAACAGAGCAAAACAGAACAGACAGACCAGACTGGACCAGAAAGGACCAATCAGATAGAGCCACAGACCTGATCTGACCGGATCAGGGTTGATCAGAGATCTGTAAAACTGCCACCGAGTGTCAGTTCCTCGGATCTTTGTGTCTCAGGACTGTTTTACACTTGAATCTTTAAGTCCTCAGTAAACAAACAGTCAACAGATGTAAACACAAACAAACATCATGACAGCTGGAACCAGAACCAGGCCTTGTTTGGACCCACAGCAGGTGTCTTCAACCAAACTCTGGTGGACATAAAAGTCAAAACACGATGAAACTACCCCGTCTGAAAACATCAGCACTCAGAAACAGACGTCTTCAAGTTCTGGAGAAGATCCGGGTCCTCGGTGCTGCTGAGCTCAGGTCCCTAATGAAGTAGAAATACTGCAGTACTGCGTGTGGTAGTACTGCAGTACGGTGTGTAGTAGAACTCCTGCTGACACTGAGTCTGTCCTCTGACTGCAGACGTACAGCGAGCAGTGAAGGCTCTGATTGGTCGTCTTCTCGGGGCGACCGAGGTTCACAGCGACTTCAGAGAGAGAGAGCGAGGAGGTATTGTGAGGGTCACATGGTTACCGGCTGCTTCTCGTCTCCATGGTAACGGTGTGGACCCCCGGGGGCAGAGAGAGAGCAGGAGTCACTTCTGATCTATATCTGCTGCTCGCTGGCCCTCTATAAATAGACGTACGGAGTCACATGACCAGCATGACATCTGCGTCCAAGACAACTAAATATTAATAAAGTTCCAGTCGCAGGAGAAGCACGGCGAGATGTTTGCTGCAGCTGGAACGTACAACACTAGACATTAGGAGAGTCTAAGATCTGGTACTGATCCACTGTTTTCATCTGCTCTGATCTACAAACATACATGGAACAAAACTCTAAAGTCAGCCCAGGAACCTCACACTCGCGATCAGGTGACCCAGGTTCAGGTCGCTGCTTCCAGCTGTTCAGGAGCTTCTCCTCTGAGCTGATTAAACATCTGCAGCATCAGACAGCAGCAGGAACCAATCAGAGAGAAGCTGCTGCATTTCAACACAAACCACCTGATCCACTCGTCTCTCTGTTACATCACTTCAGTCAGACGCTGACTGATTATTATTCATAGATTTATACTCTGAACGTAATTAAACTAGTAAACCAATCAGCTGTCAGCAGGGTCACATGATCGAGGAGGAGCCAATCACAGATCAGCGTGAACTTTAGCTCACCTTTTAGCACCACCTTCTCCCCAGGGCTCCTCACTGGTGCGCTCTGCTGTGATGTCACTCTCAGGTGCTTGCTCCGCCCATATTCCTCCCCCAGCAGGTAGAACCAACCAGTGAGCAGCTGCCAACACACAGGGGGCAGGGCCAATAGGTGAGACAAATGAATAAGCAGGTCCTGCAGCCAATCACACAGCAGGATTCTCAGGTTTAGACTGACCTGAGAGGATGAGACAAGAGAACCAATCCCAAAGCTCATACAGCCGATCAGCTGACTGCACCTGAGGACACACAACCAATCCGCTTACCGCTCTACCTGTGACACAATTTGTGTGTCTTTGTGGTGATTTTAATTATATAAAATCAGAATTATTGTATTTTTCAGTGGTCACCTGGTTGTGAATACGGACAGGTGTGGTCAGAGTGATGTCATCACTTACCTGTCAGCTGATCTCCTGAAGACTGAGACCAACAGCCTGCTGAGGAGGAGCTCGTCCTGGATACACCTGACACACAATGTGAACAACATTATCACACAGCACGAGCACACACACATCGTGTTCATCGGCTGGATCACATGGACGCAGCTTCCTGGTTTCTGCACTGACACGGAGAAGCTGAACGATTTGGGGGCGGAGCCTGAGAGCAGTGATTGGTCAGACGGACTGAGAGCTGAGGCCTCTCTGCCGCCCACATTTACCTGCTGCTGCTAACAGCGTTAGCCTCCGTAAGTGGAGCTGAACTCTACAGGTGAGTGTTAAATTCTGCTATCTGCTATCCTGTTATCTCCACCCCCCTCATCCCCACTCCCACCCAACCGGTCCAGGCAGATGGCCGTCCTCCCAAAACCTGGTTCTGCCGGAGGTTTTTTCCTCCCTTGGGGGATTTGGCTCCTTCCCACCGTTGCCGACCACTTGCTCAGAGGAAGTGCAAAGGCTGCTCTGGATTGTTGGGTTCTCTGTGAAACCTGTAAGGTCCAAACCTGACCATGTTAAGGTTGTGTGATGACACGTGTTGTAAACTGAGCTCTACAAATAAATTGAATTGAATTGTATACATATATATATGTATATAAAAATTGCCTCCAGAGTTGTGTTTTGCCTCTCTCCAACCTTTCAGACCGTCCTTGTTTTACCTGATAATAAGTATGTTCATGACACCATGTCTCAGCAGCCACTTACGGCAATCGGCAGTATTTTGGGTGGAACAAACCTTTAAACCTACAAGCACGTGGACATGAAGTCGTATGTTGTGATGAACACATCCTGGATAAACCTGTCATCTGAGTGAAGCTGTGACGTTAGCCATCCTCTACGGCTGCAGGTGGCGCTGTCTGGAATAAAGGCTCTAAAAGTGCTGCCTTCAGAGCCAGACCTGGTGGCCGTCAGTGGTACTGCAGGTTTAACACTGTGCCCATGCTTCTGTGTCAGTTCACTGTATGAAGCAGAGCATCGCTGCCCCCCAGAGGAACAAGTCTGGAACTGCAGGAACAGCACATTCTGTTTCACTGCAGCAGAACTCCAACGGTACTGAGGAGAATGAAATCAGTGTTCTGTTAGTGTTCTGTCAGTGTTCTG